TCTGGAGACGACGACAAGCAAAGCAACTTCACATTCAAAAATCTATTATTGAAGAAATCAGAAAAGAAAAGAAAAAATGAAAGTGGTATATAAAGACAGAGAGGCTCGTGAGAGTTGCGTGATCAAGTACGCCTGAGGCATCGCGCCTCGAGCTCGACTCACGTCTACGTCTTCCCTCAAATATCTAATCCCAAACCCTCTCATTAATGGGCCAAAATCCTCTTAATGGGCCTGTTGTGAATTTACTGGGCTTTTCCAGCTGTCGCCAGTTTTTGAAGTCGCCTGACGTGGCGATATATGAATGGATGGATGACCGAGAAGGAGAAATAACCGAAGCACCCCACTCACTTAACCGGCGAAGAAAGGAAAATTCGATCTGATGACCTTTGAAAGGGGCAAAAACCGTAATAAAACCGACGATTCGAGGGTTAATATCGTCATTACGTTTAATAATCCCTTTAGTCTTCCCCTTGTCTGAGAAAAAAACACAGTTAATCGAAAGACATACATTTTCCTCAGCATCGCCTCGCTTCCCATATTTATCCTCCTCATATCCCGCTCCGTGGCTCTTTCGTAATTTCTTCCATTAAAATTCTCGCCGCCGGCCGTCGAATCGCCGGCGATCTGGATTCTCCGGCCGCCGTTTTCTCATCCGCTGCGAGGATTCGCGACAGACTTGCTCTGAGATCAATCAAATCCCCTTCCCCCGAAAACCCGATTTAGGGTTTGTGGTTCTCCATTAAGAAGGATTTTTCCTAATCGAGGTTGGGTTCTTGTGATTGTGGAGGATTGTTTGATTTGTGTGGTTTCGGTTTTTCCCCTCTTTTACTGAGAAATCAAGAAGATGCCAAGGAGTACGAGGCACAAATCGAGTAAGCATAAGGATTCGAGAGACTACTCTGATTCGGAGAAAGAGTCGACTTTGAAGGAGAGGAAAAGCAAAGAGGAGAGTAGTGCTAGGGTTTCGAAAGATTCTGGTTCTGGTGATAAACGAAAGCTTGATTCCAAGGAGTATTACGATTCGGTTAATGGCGAGTACTATGAAGAGTACACTTCTTCCTCGAAGCGACGGAAAGGGAAGATCGGAGAGAGTGGTAGTGATAGGTGGAATGGTAAAGATGAAGAGAAAGGGGAGAGTTCGAAGAAGACGAAGGCGTCTAGTGACAAGAGTAGGAGGAGAGAGGAAGTAGAAGGTGAGGAGACGAAGAAGAGTAGTGTTAAAAGCGATGGTAAGCATAGAGAGTCTAGTAGAAAGGAAAGCAAAGAGTTTGACAAGGACAAGGAACGGGATAAAGATAAAAAGCATAAAGAAGGCAAAAGTGACAAGTTTTATGATGGTGAAGAACACCATCATAAATCCAAGGTTGTCTCTGATAAAACTGGTAAGATTTCTATTCGTAATCAAAATTAGCCACTGGAACCTTGAGATGAACATATTGACTTTAGTAAGTTGTTTTGGAAGCGTTTCTCTTATGGTTTGATTGACTTAAGTGCTCGTCTTTGAGACTTGTAATTTTATATGGTATACATTAGTTTCTGGTTTTGCAGTCTGCCAAGAGATGAATTATAGCTAAAAACAACTAAGATCCATCTGTGTTTGCTCGTTATTGGATTTTGATATGAATCAAAGTTCTTACTGGAATTGAAGCAAAAAATGTTCATTCTTACTGGAAAAAAAACTTACATGCCTTTTCCTAAGAATGGGGATTTAGCATCTTTGTATTTTATAAGAGTAGACTTTTGAAGTAGTTATTGTAATTAGCTCTTCCAGTAGGTATTCATGTTGCTTCTGTTCTACTGTCTTTTCCAAGATAAATGGAGTTAGTGCTACTTTGCTTGCTATTATATTCGAGGATGCATTTAACTGGTTAAATTTTTTGAAAAGTTGTAGTCGTATGTGTATTTATTAGTTAGATGTCTCATATTCAATTATATAGTTTAGAAAGTAGCAAAAGGGATTTTGTTTTGGGTTTTGCTAATCTTTATGTCTCTATTGGATTCAGAGTCGAAAGCTCAGGATCAGCTAAGGAGTCCAGGTACCGAAAATCATACTGAGAAGCGATCAAGGCGTAAGAGGGATGATCATGGTGTTGGAGACAAGCATCAAGATAACAATGATGATGTTAGTGATAGGCTTTTCACTTCCGGAGATGACTACATTAAAGATGGAAAACAGAAGACAGAGAAAAGCAGAGATAAGTATCGGGAAGACAAGGAAGAAGACATCAAACAGAAAGGTGACAAGCAGAGAGATGACCGACCTACTAAAGAGCATCCTAAGTCTGATGAAAAGCACCTCCGAGATGAAAGTAAAAAAAAATCTAAATTTCAGGATAA